TAACTAGGCGTTGGTATGTAGCTCCTCATCCTTTATGAATGCATGTTTCACCTCGGACTGGGGCCTTCTCTTTTGCTTCACCAGTTTGAATCTAGGGTCGAGGATCAACGGGTGTGCTGTTATTTCCGATGGGATCCCTGTCATGTCTAAATGGGATCAAGCAAAACAATCCACATTATTAATAAAAAATTGAATGAGTTTTTTCCTGAGTTCCGGGGTTAACCCCGTTCCCAGGTATACCTTTCCTTTGGGTAGATACTCGATCAGTATCACCTATTCCAGTTGCTCGACTATTGACTTGGTTGCATCTGGTTCTTCGGGAACTACGAAAGTTCGAGGAGTAAGGAAATCCTCTTCTTCTTCTTCGATTACCTATTTCTCCGATTCGATCGAGGCTAGGGACGATGATTTCTATTTGGCCACCTGCATATCTTTGGTGTTCAATTTTTCTGAGGTCGAAGGTGCTGATATCGGCATCACCTCGCCGAATGCAAACATTTCCTTTGCCACGTGGTATTCCTCGTAAACTGTTTTCACACCATCCATTGTTGGGAATTTCATCATTTGATGAAGGGTCGATGGTACTGCCCTTATGTTGTGGATCCATGGCCTTTCGAGAAGTGCATTATATCTCATGTCGCCTTTGATGACATGAAATTTTATATCTTGGATGGTCCCGACCACGTTTTTTGGTAGGATTATCTCCCCCTTCGTTGTTTCTCTTGCCATGTTGAAGCCGTTTAGGACCCGAGATGCAGGCACAATTTGGTCCGGCAGGCCGAGCTGCTCTACAACCCTCGATCTAATTATGTTTGCTGAGCTACCTGGATCCACTAGAACACGTTTAACTCTAATTTTACTTAAAAAATAGAAATTACCAGGGCGTCGTTGTGCAGCTGAGAAATGCCCTCCACTTCTTCATCGTTGAATGATAGGATTTCTTCGGGCATATAACTTCGAGTCCGCTTTTCTCTAGTGATCGACACCTTGGTACGTTTGAATATAGGTTATTATGGAACATCGACCCCGCCAACGATCATATGAATTACATGTTGCGGTTCTTCCTATTCATTCTTTCTGTTGGTGTCTCTTTCTCTCAATTGATTCCTAGCTCGATCATTAAGAGACTCTTGAAGGCAGCCCTCGTTGAACAATCGAGCTACCTCCTTCATCAGCTGTTTGCAATCTTCGGTCTTATGGACATATGTACCCTAGTGTCTCTGAGAAGGATCGGTTTGTATAGGTCTAGGCCACCTAGTGTCTCTGATCCTCCTGATAGACAATACAATCCCTGATACATCGATACTGAAATTATACTCCGATAACCGAGGCGCTTCTACGGGATTGGTATGTTTATCAAAACCACTCTTATTCATAAGTCCCCGAGAATTTTGCCCTTAATCATTTATTCGATCATTCCAAGGAGGATTGCGCCCCGAACCATTGTTTCTTCGATCTGCAACATATGGCTGATATCGTTCTCTTTTCGACCTCAGTTCCCTATCGGTATCCCTCGGGGCTTTAACTGCCAATCTTTTTGGATGAACTAAACTTGAGGGATCTCCCAAATGGTCATCCTCGACCCTGATCTTTGATTGATAACGATTATGCACATCTGCTCAAGTCATAGCTAGATACTCAATCCGATTTTGCTTCAATTGCCGTGACGCTATCGAACTCCGCTCGTTCAACCCCTATGTGAAAGCTTGAACTGCCCAATTATCCGTAACCGGTGGTAACTCCATTCACTCTATTTGAAATTAGGACATAAACTCCCTCAACTTTTCGTTATCCCTTTGTCTTATCTTGAAAACGTCCAATTTTCTCGTTGCAACTTTTATGGCTCCGGCGTGCGCCTTCACAAAAGAATCAGCTAACATGGCAAATGAATCGATGGAGTTTGGTGTCAAGTTGTGATACCAAATCATTGCTCCCTTTGATAGAGTTTCCCGAAATTTTTTCAACAAAACGGACTCGATCTCATCGTCTTCTAAGTCATTTCCCTTTATCCCGCACGTGTACGTAGTGAGATGTTCATTAGGATCGGTGGTCCCGTTGTATTTAGGTATATATGGCATATAGAACTTCTTTGGAATGGGCTTCGTGCCCGCACTCTGGGGAAAAGGCTTTTGCACGAACCTTTTTGAATCCAAGCCCTTTAAGATTAGGGGTGCCCCCGGTATCTGATCAATTCGAGAGTTGTACATATTCACATTTTTGTCATTATCTTTGATCTTCTTTTCTCCAGACTCGATTCTTTTTGTGAGCTCCTGGAGAATTTTCATAATTGAAGGATCAGTCCCTGATCCATTATCGCTCGTCCTTTTCGGCATTGGCTCGGTACGACGAGTGATTTCTGGATCGACCACACTTGGAGTTCTATGCTGACTCTAAAGCTGAGCAATAGCAGCCTTTTGAGCCTGTAACATCTCGAATATTACTTGGAGGCTAACTCCTCCGTCTCCTACACTTTGTGTTCCTTGGCCTCCAGATTGGCCTTCCCTGTATACACTTCCTCCAGGATCTGTGCCTAAGTCCCCATTCAAAGCAATGTGCGAACTAAAATCGACTGGATCGACAACTGGCACTTCCCCAGGGTTAATCGGTGGCACACCGGCTCCTAGATTAACTACATTATCGTTTTCCCCATGAAATCTAAGACCATCATTGCCATGTACAGGTGCGTTTTGTGAGTTTGATATGTTTTAACCTGAGAGCAAAAATTCTCGACAAGAACAAGTGTGAAAATAACATGTGTTATCAGAATCAATACTAAAACAATCACTATTATCCTTAGCCCCACAGTGGGCGCCTAACTGTCTACCCTAAAATCCAAGTAACAATTAAATTTATATCGAGGTCTTAAAGATATGTGATTTAGTCCAATACTAATTGATAATCAAAGAATCAAACGTATAAATTAAAGAAATAAGTTGAATCAAACCAGTGAACATGCCAGTCTCGACTTCAAGCTAAGATGGCCTTGAGGTAGGTCAGTAAGAACAACAAAGCTAAAAGACAAAGCAATAAGCAAGAAAGTAAAGAATGTATATTCTCTTGTCAATAATTGATGTGTTACAAATGATTGGGGTCCCCTTTATATAGTAGGGGAATCCTAAATAAGGTATAATTCTAATTGTAGTAGGGAATCTTATTATACAGCTGTCTAACCGCCTAGTACAAATCCGTTTTAGAATTTACGCCGTGACCTTAGGGCCTCTGCGGGAATCTCGCTCTTTCTGTTATGAAACCATAACGGTATTATCTCGAGGCTGGTCATACTTGGCCTCGGAGTTCATCCAGCACTTCGATCTTCGAGTCTTGTACTCCGCCCTCAGGCTCGAGCCTGGTCCATTTCGAACTTGTTCTCGAAGTGACCCTCGAGCCCACAAAATCGGTCATACCTGATTTCGACCGTATACAGTTTTAACTCCAATTTTAATTACTTTAATCTCCAATTAGGTGTATACTATTGGTTGTTTTGAAGTGTGCAAAGTGTTACTTATTTATCTTCATTCCTTTGTTCTACCAACTATACAGTCTTTATTCGTTTATCTATCATCATTCTTTTTTTTCCCAATGATAGTTAATATTTGATTTTAGTAGAAAAGAATTTTCTTAAATTATTCTTATGAGGAATTCTTGATAAATTTAATATCTAAAACAATTAATGGTGTTTTAGTAAACTTATATGTTATAGTAAGGTATGATACAGTCAAACCAAACAACAAATTATTATTTAAGAACAATACAATCTATCCAAGCCTTGTATTCATAAAACGATACGATACGATACGATACGATACAATACAATACAATACATTATGGACGATGGATAACAATGATCCAAACAGAGTGTTCATGAAAACATTTAGTAAGCGTTTGGCGATAAGTTTTGGGATTTTTTTTAAATTTTTTTTAAAATATGTGTTTGTTTATAGAATTAATCTAATTTTTTGAAAATTTTGGAAATCAAAACTTTAATCTTAAACATTAGCTTAAGACCACTTTTTAGGCCAAATTATGACCATTTGAGACTTTTTAGCCTAAAATATGAACTTTTAACATATCAAAACTTGCATCAAAATTTATGTCTAAACATATTTTCAATTTCAAATCAAACTTCACCGGAATTTAGTGTTTTCAAAAAAATATTTGGTAATCTATATCCAAGCGGGTCCTAAATTTATTCTAGGAGTTTTTAAAATATATGTTAAATTATGAATGAAATAAGTTCCAGGACATTCTTAGTTTATAAAAAATTTCTGAATTAATATTTTTATTTTTCTTCGGGTTGATCATATATCTAGTTCCTCAAAATGAATTTGTACATTTTTTGGTGCCTTAGTCAAGGCAATTAATGGTTAAGTTCTTTTAAAATGTGCTAAGTGACAACAGGTTCGTATTATAATAAATTATGATTTAAGTTATACATTGTAAAATAATTTATGTAATAAAATCATGAATATTTATGCAATATAATATGCAACAGTGTAGTTATGATCAAATGATATCATAAAGTGTAAAATAATTTTTTTATAAGTGACATCTAAATATTTTTCAGACGTTAGGGCGTATAGAATTTAGAGACTAAACATCTAATTTTCTGTTATTTTATATTGATTTATTTGCATAAATAAGTTTTAGACCATACAGAAAATAACAAAGTTGATCAGTAATTCATAGGAGAGACGACAAAAGTTTTATGGTGTACCTCGTATAATTGATATTAATTATGTGAGATTTTTTTTATTTTATAAATTTATAGACCTATATTTTATACGTTTGGGTGTATAAAATTGTGAACGGGAAAGTAGTAAGGCACAAAATAAAATTTTTTATGAGAAAATGAGATCACAGAAGAGTGACGTGGTCAACATACAGCTTGTTGAACTCATGCATAATGTACACGTGTGCTGTACCCTTTAGCTCCAGTTATACGTGTGTTGTATAATACTATGTTGTTTTGGCAACATATAAATGCAGCCAATAACGGGTGGTATGGATCTGCTTGAACAAAAGAAGGTAGAAGTGAGGAAAAAAGAAAGAAAGAATGGCATCAAACTCGGGGCCAGCATACGCATATACAGTAGTGTATGTTAAAGACGTTGCCAAATCTGTCGCTTTTTATGCTGAAGCCTTCGGCTACAACGTTCGCCGCTTAGACGATAATCGCAAGTACGTTGTCTATCCTCCGTATATAGTCGGTTTGATTTTGGATTGCCTTTGTTTTGTCAGATCAAATTTCGATGTTGGTAGAATTGTTTTTTAGTTATGTTGGATGAAATTGATTTTGTAATTTCCTTCTATTTTCAAAAGCAAAAAGATACAAAATAGTACTCCCTGAGCTTTGCCGTCTGTTTGATTTTTAAATTAGTAAAATAAATTTCTAAACTGTATCCAGTATCCACTGTCCTGGTAAAAGAATATTTATGTTATGTTTGTAATTTAACTTTGTAGATGGGGAGAATTGGAGAGTGGAGCCACCACAATAGCATTCACGCCTATCCATCAGCACGAGACAGATGACTTAACGGGTCAGGTCCAGACCCCTCATTCCCGGGGCGATAGGCAACCCGTTGAGCTTTGCTTTGATTATGTAGACATCGATGCTGCCTACAAGGTAGTCATATAGCTAGTAACCTTCTTCTCTTTTTCACTTTTGAATATGATAGCTCCAATCAATGTAATAGGGGCTGTTGGTTTAATTTGACGTGTTGTTTTTGTGGATTAATTAATGTCCATCCAGAGGGCAGTAGAAAATGGGGCAGTTGCGGTGAGCCAGCCTGAGGAGAAGAAATGGGGACAGAAAGTTGGATATGTACGAGATCTTGATGGTAACATCGTTAGATTGGGAAGCCATGTCCATCCTAAATAATCGCATTACTGATCAGAGCTCATCAACGGTATAGGATATACTTTTAGCCGTTCCAGTGTGTTTAGGTTAACTCATGTGGAATAAATTGTATCCTCACTGTGTAGTGAATAAGGAATAAACAGAATATCAAGAAGACTTGGATCTTATAAACTAAGCAGAACGCGTATGTTGTTAAATAATTTTTCTCCTTGATCGCTAAAAGACATTCCCTTTGCTACTGGAGGCATAGATGCATGCCTTTGAACTTCAAGACCGAATGTGATATAAGATCTATAGTAACCTCCTCCCTCTGTCCCCCACACCCCCCCCCCCCCCAAAAAAAAAAAAAAAAAAAAAGAGTAAGGGTCGACATAAAGCACTTATTCTTTTGGATTTTAAGATCCGAGGTAAAAAGTTCTCCTTAGGTCACCAATCCAATGTGAAAGTGGTGCTCAAATTAACCCCAGCTTCTGGCCTTCTGTGTAGGACTTGATTTTTAAGAACCTCAAATCGGAGCTTTACATTATCTTGATGTGTAAAGTTGAATTTAAATTCAAGAACCTTCAGATATTTTTGTTTTACCAAAAAAAGTGCTAAACCTTTTCTTAAAATGAATTAATGAGAAAATGGGGGGTGAATCCTAGTTAAATTTAATACACTAGATCTAATGTTTTGGATGTATTGATAATGTAGGGTTGAAATCCGCAAATGATGTATACCAAATTACAAATGTTCAATGATTGTCAACGAATGTAGTAATAAAAGCATACAATAAATGTAAATAATGACAATGAATGTAATAAGAGAAATTGGATGATTCTCCTTCCTGGCAACAACGTGGAGTAATAGAAAATGAAGATGAACAAGGAATCTTTGGATCTTGTGAATAAAAATCATATATCGAACAATGTAATCAGTGGACAAGACAAGCTTTTGTATATGCTTTGTAGTCAACCCTTTACAATATGCTCTTATCAGAAAAATGAAGATTCCCTTTTTGTTCTTTATCTCTTCCTATTTATAGGAAATATTCCTAAAAAATCCTAAAAAGTACAACAGAAAGAATATTCAATAGAACATTGTTTCTTTCTATTCTACTTATTCTACCATTGCCTCTGTACACTTTTTGCTTGACCTCGGCACTAACCCCTCTTAAGACGACTCCTCGCCCTTGTGCTGTGGTCGGCTTGATCCTCGACCACATCCAGTTGAAGTTATTAAGTCCAGTCCAAATTTCGACCAATACAGTTAGTCCCTCCGTTTGTTGAAGTGGTGACGATGGACGTCCTCGATGAACGGATTCAGTCTGCAACCGTTCAGAGGAAATTTTGTCATGATGATTGAATCGAATCGGCCGAGGTTGAGCTAGCGGCCTTATCAGCGGGGCTGCGGTTGGTGTGGCTGACGTAGGATGACGTCATGCCACGCGCATCATCATTACGCGTCTTTCCAATGCAGTGTATGTGCTGTTGTCGCTTCGATTTTGGTGTCGTTGACGGCTCTTTGCCTCGATTCCGGTGTTGACCAACCCTATAAGTAGAGGAGAGGGGTTTCCTTTTCGAAACTTTCATCATTCTCCTTGTTGTATGCATATCGTTTTTCATTGATTTTCTTCTCTGATCTCCACTTCCGATTTCTTGCAACTTCTTCAATTTCAGTCCCTAATTTCTTTCCCGGCTGATATTTTCTTTCTCCGACTTTGCTGTACACACTTTACTACGGAAATATGTCAAATTCCCTTCATATTCACGATGGAGTCTCCGATGCCACTCCTTTATCGGTGGCCATTCCTCCCGGTGGTGAGGAATTCATGGTTGAGGAGGAAGAATTCTTCTCCACCTTGGAGGAGGTGGTTCCCAAGAATCCTTTGGTCCGAAATGACTTCCCAAAGGAACCTGCTCCCGCTCCTGCTCAAGAGCTTTCGAAGACGGGGCTGTGTCAAATAGCCGGCCTCCAGTCCAAATATCGTATTCCTTCTCACGTCGAGATTATTCCGGTGGGAGACGACATAGTACAAGTTCACCAACCTGGATATTGTGCTTTCTATGTTTACCCTTTCCTAGTTGGTTATTCTCTTCCTCTACTCCCATTAGCGGAGGATTTTTGCCGATTTTACAACGTCTGCCTGGCACATCTCTTCCCTTATTTATACAAAAATTTTCTGATGCTAGCGAAGTACGCAAAATTGTCCGGTTGTGAGGTCAATATTTGCCATCTGCTGCATCTATTCTCGCCCAGCTTTTATAGAGGCACGTTGATACATCTGCGACATCGTGGGATCAAAGGGTTGGTGGCCAAGATGGATGATAAGGTGAACAGGCGGTTCTGGTATAAATACTTCTTCATTAAGACCGAACACTTGGTAGCGAATACGACCGGGTTTTCCGAGTAATGGAACTATAATCGTAAGTATCTTGTTGTATGTTCATTATTTTCTTTATTCCTCTTCTTCTTTCATTTCCGACTCTCATGGCTTCCTTGTTTTCAGGTGAGAGGCGTGCACCTTCTCCCGTCTTCGATATTGAAGATTGGGTGGCTCGCGTGTTACCCTACACCGTAGGAATTCGCGACTGGGCATCCTGTCAAAAGCGCTTTGGACCCAAGACTTCGTCCAGTAATTGTTATTTGTACCTTTAACTTATTGTTGTTCACTATGGCCTTTTGATGCGACCTTCCTTTGGTGCCAGGTCGGTGAGTTTCCAAAAAGGCGAAGGCTCCAATGCCTGCATTTCGCCAGGCTATCACATCAGCTGGAATGCAGTTTGCTTTAGCTTAGTCTGCTCGAGGAGGTCGGACTCAAGTTACGCCAATGAGGGACTCCGCCCCTTAAACTGTTTCCATGCCGGATGAGATCTCTTCTCAGCCTATCTTTCACCTTATGGACGAGCCGTCGTGCGGCGAGGAGGCATCACCAACGAAAAGACGAAAGGCGGAGACCGGGAAGGCCATTGTTACTGATGTTGAGGCGAAGAGATTCATTGCTTTGGAAGCGGAATCGGTGCTTACACCAAACATCAAGGCTGTTTATGCGGCGGGTGCCGTCATGGAGAAGATGCCCTATGAGATTGAAGGGATTCATGGTAGCAGAGTGCTTACGCAGGCTGCTGAAGGTGGCTCCTCATTATCGGCTGGGAGAGGTGGAGTTGTCCTTCGGGGGACGATGACTCTGGCTCGGACATCGACCTTGAGGAGGTACGAACCTTTATGGAGAGGACTACTCGCGTGGAGATAAGGGCTGAGTGTCCTAATCAGCATATAGTCATTCCCATGGATTATGACCTCTTAGTTAACTCGGAACGACCTTCGAACCACAAGTTAGAAATCTCCAGCTATCACGCGAAAGGGGAGCCTCCATGTCCACAACTGAGGAAGCGCCACCAACAATAAAAAAATTACTGGAGACGTGGTTGACAAGTACTCTAAACAACTTACTCGACAAACCTGTTCAAGGGGCGAGTAGAAGCGCCGCACGAGCGAATACCACAACAACCACCAACGAGCAACCTGCTCCCGCTCCTCTACCAACAGGTAACATTCACACCGCTGTTGATGCAGGTAATGATGCATTTGCGGCCATTCTAAAGAAAATGGACGAAATGGAGAAGAAGAATAAAGCTCTCCGCGACCAAATGAGGAAGCATCAAGAAAGTGTTGATAAAATACAGGGCGTCTTGGAACTGCTACCAAAACGGGACATCGGCCGGTTCGTCGAACAATCGTACAACGAGGAGGCAGCCCCACATGCCATACCCAAAACCTTCAAAATGCCACCATATTTGAAGATATACGACGGCACAACAGACCGTGAAGATCACATCATTCATTACGTCACATTAGTGAAAGGCAACAACCTCTCAAAATAGCAGGTACCATCAGTGTTGCTGAAGAAGTTCGGCGAAACCCTAACAGAGTTACTGCTGATAGCTAGCGATTTCTAACTTGTGGTAGCGATCTTAATTTTACCAAAATTTACTAGACAATTACTGTTGTTGTTTTTGAATTCTTGGTTGATAATGGCTATCGAAGATCTACTGAATCATGCAGCTTATCAACATAATCATACACCAGCTCCACTCCTACCTTGGGAATGAATCAAACACTTGTAATAGATTGTAATTACTCATTATTTCTGCCTCCTTTAGATGTTAGTGGAATTCAAATTATATCGTTCCAATTGACAGGTATTGAAAATTACTCTTATCTGGTTTAGATTTATGCGAGTAACTCTATTGGGAAGAAACAAATAGGGTTTTGTAGATGGTTCATGCACTAAAGAAAAATTCCCATAAATAATATGGAATCATTGGGAAAGAGTTAATGCAATAGTTCTTTTTTGGATCATGAATTTGGTAGCTACCGGTTTATTAAGTGGTATTATGTATGCTTCAAGTGCTCAAGTTGTTTAGAATGACTTGTATGAAAGGTTTAACAAAATAGATGGCGCAAGATCTTTCAATCTGCATAAAGAAATTGCAATCTTAAGCAAAAGAACTGCTTCTGTGTCTGTTTATTTTTCAAGATTGAAGGATTTGTGGGAAGAATTTGAAGCATTGGTTCTATCCCCTATATGTGATTGTGAAAAATCAAAAGAATTTATGGTGCATTTGCGGAAATTGAAATTGTTTCAATTTTTGATGGGGTTAAATGACCCGTACAGTCAAGCAAGAAGTCAGATTCTGTTAATGAGTCCCATGTCTACTGTCAATCAGGCCTATATAATAATCATAAGTGATGGAAGCCAAAAAACATTAACAGCTTCAACAGTATTTTGTTAGGTGCTAATCAAACTAATGTTACTGGTTATGGTTAGTATGATGTGTCTATGTACTCAAGAACAGGTGGAAATCAAAGGTTCAATCAGAAAATAAAGAAGAACTACAATGTTTAATGTGAGTTTTGCAAACTTAGAGGTCATAGCAAAGAAAATTGTTACAAAATTATGGGATATCCCACAAACTTTAAGCTCAGGAAAAAAGGGGGAGTTGTGAACTATACTGCTTATAACACACTAACTGAATTTGCAGCTCAGAACAATCAATACTCAGGACACACAAGGTTCAATAATGTAGTTGCCTATAATGTTCTAAATGAAGACAACTTGAAGAACAATCAGACTGCAGGAATGCATTTGGCCAGGTCATTGGGTCAATAGATACTACAAACCGATCAATATGG